TTAAAAATGGTAAATGTTGTCACTTTTATAATATGGAAATCAAATTTATCCTTTACCTTTTTGTCTACTGTTCTCTTCTGTTTCATTCAAAGGCAACCCTTGCACTGCAACATCTTTAGAAAAACCCTTTAGGATATGAAGGGAAGAAATGAAGGGCTAAATAAACTTTATGATTTATTACTTACCAAGTATTACTTACTAGCCATGTGACTATTGTTTTGGGAGCACAGGCCTGTGTACTTTGTATATTTAATTCCCAGCACCATCACAATGCTTAAGTACCTTGAAGCTACTTAAGGATTTGTTGAATGAATAAGTGCGCTGTCAGACGAGTGAGTAAATTAACAAGCTAGCAACTATGGCCCTGATTCACATTCATATCCCAATGGTTCCCAGGGAGTTTAATGGAAGACAGAAGGATGGCCAATGCATGGCACAAAATCGCCAATTAACCAAAGCATTCTCTGTCACAGAGCTCATGTGGTATCAGAAGTCTTCCCTATATAGGTCGTACCTACTGACAAATAGCTTCCTGTTCACATGTGCAACTTCATTTCTAAGATTCTATTCAGGCTAAGATACCATGACTTTTTTAAGTAGTAGATTCACTCAGTACTGCTGTTGACTTCCCTATACACACCTTTTCTTTTTTTTCTGCTACATCATTAAAGAGAAAAGAGAAAATCATAAAAAGAAAAGTGACCCAGGTCATTGGCTGATAACAAGTGTTAGCTTCCTAAAAAAAAGCCAATTAAACTATTTCAGTAGAAAACACCTGGGAAATTAATATAAAGAACTTATACAAATTGGTAAGAAAAAGCACAGCATGTAAATATGTAATTCACAAAAGAATAAATATAAATGGTCATACACATCAAAAAAATCCACTTCATTAATAATAGAAATACAAAATAAAACAGTGGGATGCCTTTTATAAGTCAAATGGCAAAGATTTTTTTTTGTTTAATTTTAATGTTCTGTATTGGTAAAAATGGGGGGAAATAAGTCTATGAATGACCTTGCAGGAGAGAATATATATAGGTAGAGTCTTTCTGGAGGCAATATAGAAACATTACAGAAGAAATGTGCACATCCTTTGATCATTTTAAATCTAGAAAATAATGCTAATGAAATGATGCAGGATATACACGAGCATGTTCATCACATTGTTGTTTACATTATAAAAAACATTGGAGAATAAAACTTTAATGTCGAATGATAGGTATGAACAAAAATTCTATGAACTCATTAAAAGTTTCTAGAAAACAAATGACCAAAAAAATTCCTTACTACTACTTAGTCATAAAACAGAATGGTCCCATTTCATAATATATATACTCACACACAGGAAAAAAAAACCCCTCAAAATGTTAACAGTTGCTGATTTTAAGTGTTGGAATTTCTTTTTTCTTTTTGTATACTCTACGTTGAATTTTTTAAAGTTTTTATTTTCTTTCTATACATGGGTAAGGAATAGCTCCAAACAGGAAAAGGAACATCTTATCTTCAGGTAGTAGGGAGACATAGGTATGAATAGGAGCATTTATAAATACAAGGATATCACATTTTCTCTTTAAAAGAGCATGGCCAACTCAATCCACACTATAATCTTAGTACTCATTTATGAAACAAAAACATGATGTAAAGATATTGCAGTCCGTGTTTATGATAAAATGATAATGAACTATGTTTGTTTTGCAGGCATATTTTACATTAGAAAAATCTACACAAAACATGCTGTGAGTCCATAATAAATGTAATGGAATCTTGCCCGATCATCTTCAGGACAAATGACACACATATCTTCAAATATACATTAATTGTGTATCCATACATCTGAAAAATTATTTAGAGAATGAAATTCAAATAGCATTAATCATTAAACAAAGCCTGTTTAAAAAAAGAAGCGGAAGATACCACCCCCAAGGCTAGGCATTTCCTCTGGGACGAAGTAAGACACACACATATATTTTTACTGTGAGTTTTTGATGACATTGACAAAAGTTTCATTTTAATTCTTAGTTTACCAGCTTCACTTTTCAATATATTGTGGTACTCTCTTCTTTATAGACTTGTTAAAATGACAATACTTATGCCAACATCATGATCAGTGGTCAGTCTAATTATATTGCATCAGCAAAACATTATATTTATCATCAAATATCCAGCATTATAAGTAAAAAGGTTAACATGAGAATTTCTTGTTTCTTAAAGACCCCTTAAAAAAAACATATAAGACCTCACCATAGTTTGTATGATGTATAATCACACCTCATACTGTTACTGTTCCTTTACCTTTACATAAGTTCTCTGGTTTAGAATATCTTTCCCTTAAATAATAACAGAGCTTTTCATTTTTTCAGTTACAGTATTTCTCTCTGTGGTTATTATCTTACTAATAGATATTTTTGATCCTATGGAAGGGTTTTTGGTTAATGTCTCAAACACTATTTACATCACAATTGCATGTCAGACATTTCTCTCCATAAGTGAAATTTAATATAAAAACAAGGTCTGTTGCTAATCAAACATAATTTAAGTACACATTATTTGATAATACTGAAAATTTTAATGTGAGCATAATTAAGAATCCTTTTGCTTACACTTTCTGACACAGGGGGATTTTTTAATGGAGGCTGATGATAATCTCTAGCAGAAGATAAGTCTGATGGACCTACCAAAACAAAGAAATCAATTTCAGTGATTTTCAAATCAGAACATTAAATTTAGAAACTGTACAAGCATGACTCAAGAACTATAAACTCCATATTAATGCAAGACTTAAATTGGAAGCCACTTTTCATGCAAAAAAAACAAGAAAAAATTAAAGTTTTTACAACTGGTATTTTGGAAAGTATGGGTCAGTACTGACAATCAAGTGAAAAAAATAGAAAATGTTTTCAAGTATATCATTACACTGTTAGATTTGGACAAAGTAGGACAGAATCACTTGTCATAAATAAAATAGGTAGTATAATATAATATACATAATATGAAAGCCTGATTGAACATCAGGCATATAATACACTGTACACACCCCCCCCAAAAGCAGCATTATAAAAGCATTTTTGTTTTTGCACATATATTCATTAATCTTATCCTTACAACTACCCATTAAGTGGGTAAAGCCTATCTTATCGCCATTTTCACTAATCTCCGGAGAGGTTAAGTGAATTGGAACGTGGAAGCCAGCAAATGGCCTAAATTGTGCATTTCTACTATGCCAAACTGGATATCATAATCCAAAGAGAAGGTTGAGTGTTTGGTAAAAAGTCCTCTTGATGAAAAGTAAGTTCAACATGCAAGTTAAGTGTGTCTATCACAGATGTGAACAAGAACAGTGTACAAAAGCCACACAAAGAAAAAGCACAATAGGAAATGTTCGTTTCATTCATTCCGTCTATTGGATATTACTAGACGCAGACTGTGCCTGGTCATTTTACCAGGAGGGAAAATGGTTGAGTTTTCGATATCTGTACACACTAGACATATCTTCTTACGTCTGTGAATTTAAACATTAAAAATCCTCTAAATTTTGAACCACACACGCACAAAAAACTAAATGAAAATACTAAAGATTTTCAAAAACGAAAGCTCGAAACACTATTTGGCATCACATACCACGTAACGTTCCATTCAAGCTAGTTCCCGTTCTAAAAGGAAGACGTTTATTTGCAGACGACGCTGAAGGAACACAGGACAACTCATCTTTCAGCAAAGCCAAATTATCCCCTTGATTCGGAGAAACTACCTCACGAAGCCTCTTCGCTGGTATTTTAACCCTTCTTTTCTTTTCCGGGCTAAACTTAGGACCTTTCATATTACTGGTAACAAAACTAGTCTCGCATTTCTGAAGAGAACTTTCTCCTGGGTCCATGAAACTTCTGAACAGCTTTGAGTACTGGGGAGAAGGTGGGGTAAGAAGCAAGGGGGGAAGTGTGATAGAGAAAACGTGAATTTCAAGTAATTTTGAAATACGCAGTCATCAACTTTTAAATAAAACAATATCTAAACAGAATACTCTCAAAGCTAGAAAATTTTAATTTTGGTATTTAATCCAGCATACAGGCTAGAACACCATTTTTACCTATTAATTCCACTCAGTCTACTAGTGCACCATGCCAATGAATCTAAAAACGGGGATGCCAAAAGAATGAATGGCTGCATGGGCAGAAATAACACTATCAGTGCATTCCCCAACTCGAGGGTTGGTAAGACAAAACCAAACAGATGGGAAGGCGGAGTTAAGATTTGTTGAGAAAGGTAGCCAGGCGGGTAAAACCCAAATACTATATTTTTTTAAAAATCACCCACGTAAGAAGCTTAATAGCTTTCTTCTGGCAATGAGTCTTACACAATCCCCCAGTTGCAACCACCGGACACCTTAAGTTACCCCTGCCAGCCTCCAGAATGCCCGGATACCTCACTGCTTCAAACAACAGCTTCAGTTGCCCGCGGGTCAACACCCACTTCCTTTTAAGCCCGCCTTTGAGGTGCATCACGCATGCGCACCTAGAAAATTGTCCGAACCTTCCAACCAAATCGCTAAATGCTCTATGGTGCTTCCCATCCCTCTCCGGGCGGAAACAAACTCCCTACGGGAGAGGCTTAAAACAGGTGTGAATTTCTTTTTAAGGCAGTACATTCCCCTACAACATTTAAACACTGGCTAAAATGCGAGAGACTCATCGAAGACCTAACGGGAGCTCCTGACCTAACGGGTAACACCGGTCGCATTTATTAGGGACTATTTACTGCGTAACTCCCGGGGACCGTTGCGGACGCAAATTAAGTAAATTAATCTTTCAAAAGTTTCGGCAGATTCGGGTTACTATCGGCGAGGAAGTCAGGAATGGGGAGCATTGTCTAAGGAGACATTCACAAAAATTAACTTATGGGAATTTTATAATTATAGGCTAATATAGGCTTTTTTCTCTCAAGTTCCCCTCGTTATAACGAATCAGCGTCAAACGGTCTAAGAACTATTTGACAACGCCGTTCCCACGTGTTCTTTGCCATCCAGCGGCTGCGCCGGCCGCCGTGACCCCGACCCTCTGCCCCCTGGACTCCACTGGCAGCGCAGCCCCCCCAGTCTCGTACTGTTGTCGGAAGCGAGAGTCTGTGCTTAAGTATGATCTTTTTTTCTGCCCTGAGACTCCCGGGTTCCCGGGCGGGGGGCGGCAGGCTACGCTCCGGAAAGGTGGCGGGTCTCTCAGTGCGGCCGCCGCATATTCGTGGGGCTGTGGGGGGCTGCGGAGCCGGGCAGCGGGTCATCCACTCCCAGAGCTGGTTTGAGACCTGCCTGGCGACCGTGTCCCTGGGACTACGGTAGTAATTTGAAGCTCTGAGGCACACCAACCTGGGTTTGAGGAGTCGGGGTCTTTTTCCGAGACAGTGAGAGTTAGATTGCGAGGAATCCACGCCTTGACCTTGAGCTAAGAGGCAGGAAGAGCCTTCTTTAACTGAAAAATCCACCTTTGCTATTAACTGTACCGGGGCCAACACCTTTATCTGATCTGCTCATTATCGTGGACGCTCTACTTAGACGTTTCCCTTTACGCGTTACTAGAGGATTTAAAAAAGAGTAAAGCAAAAAATGTAATCTGATGTAAAAGCTAAATAACACATTTTTTATTTACATCTCAGATGTCTGCCTGCATTAAAAAAAAAAATCCTAGAATTACAAAACACCTTAAGGTCTCGGCCTTGGAGAACCTTTTAATTTTTTGCAAACTATGTCTTAGTTACATTTCCCTCTTCATTATTGGGCTCTTAGGTAGTACCTGGTTGTTCACAATTTCTTTAATAATATAGGTGAATTAAAAGATAAAATGACAATGTAAGAGTTATAACAGACTTTGGAGATGATTTAACTCCCTTATTTTCTAGGTGTACCTTAGATGTGAAAGAAGTCTCTAAGACGTGAGCATAGGCAGTCACTACAACGAGTTGAATAATGACTTGAATTGGGTTGAAACCCAAGTAGTCTTGCCCCCATTTAGTCCAGTGCGGATAGGATTACCCTTTAAGCTTTGAAGCCACCCTTTAAAACCAAAAGCAGTATACAGTAATCTTTCAAAAGAATTTGTTGCTCTGATAAATGAGTTACCATTTAATTAGACATAACTTCCTAAACCTGCTGTAAATAATCTAAAGTAAAGGGACATGTAGCAAAGTCCTACTAATTTATCAACCAATCAAGTTAGTTCAGATGAATTTAAATATCTGTTAAATAAAAGACACTGATAGTCCTGGAACAAAAAACATGGCTCACAAGATTGTTTTTATTTCTTTTTCATTGTTACTGTTTTATTGTTAAGATTTTTACTTACTTGCTGTCTCTTTTCCACTCTCTATATACATAGTTGTTTTGCTGAACCATTTGCAAGTAAGTTGCAGACATCATGACCTTTAACCCTAATTTCTTCAGCAGGAATCACCTTAAGAACAATCTATTAAATAGCCAGGATAAGGTTATCACACCTGAAATGACAGCATATTCAGATTTCTCCAAGTATCCCCAAAATGTCTTCTTTTAACTTAAAGATTTTTTTTTTAATCAGGATCCGAAGTTCACAATTGTATTTAGTTTTCATGACCTTTTACTTTCCTAATGTAGAACAGTCTTCCACGCCTCTCCTTTATGACTTTTTTTTTTTTTTAAGCCCAGTCGAGTCTTACAAATTGTCCCATATAGTGGATTTTCCTATAGATTTCTTCATGATCAGAGTCAGCCCATCCATTTTTTGGCAAGAATACCACACAGGCAATGCTGTGTCTATTGTGTTTGTGATGCTAGGTATAATCACTTGTTTAAGGTGATGACTGCCAGGTCTTTCCACTATAGAAGGACAGTTTTCCTTTTGTGATAAGTAACCTCTGGAGATGCTTTGAGACCATGGATATATCCTGTTTCCCAGCAGCCTATCATCCAGTGGTTTTATGATCCATTCATGATCCTTGCCTGAATCACAAGATTACCAAAGATCAGTACCAATCATGCAAGTACCAGGTTAGTGATAGAAGCCAAGGACATTGGAAGAGTCATTTGCTTTAACTATTTCAACAGAACTAGAAATTTGGCTTCAGTCCTAGTACCAATCTGCATATGATTCTAAGAAAGAAAAATGGACGGACATCTCCCCCATCACATCCTGTAGTCTGTTAACTTCTTTTAATAATGTATCCAGAAATTTCTGGGAATTGTTCTTCTGTGATGTTCACCTGAATATACTTACCACCTGGAAAGAAAAGGATATTATGTGTTTTTTAATACATATAATAACATGTTAAATATTTGTAACCTCAGAATAGATTGAGGAAACTAATTTCATTTATTGAAAAGAAAGAGGCTTTTTTCTTTCTGTATAACATTGTTAGTTTCAAGTGTGCAACATGATTTGACATCTGTATGTGTTTGAAAATGATCACAATAAATCTAAGGGAGAGGCTTTTTAAAAAATGATTTAGCTAACAGAAGTTTAGATTTTGTCGAATAGGCTGAGTTTGAAGGACTCTTCCCCAGTCATTGTAATCCTGTCATTTTTCAGATAAGAAATCAGGCCTCACTGGAGACATTCAAGCAAAAGTTGGACAACCAGTTTTCCAGAACAGAAAGGAAACTCATGCATCAAAAAAGGTTTGAGCTTTAATGGCTGATAAGCTCTCCCTTTACTCTTAAGTTCCCTGGTTTTGTGATATATTTGATATGGCACAAAAATAACTTAGCATGGCTAAAATCATTCCCAAGACCTAAGCCGGGATTCTGGAACTCTTATTACTTTCCTCCATCTCTGGGTTTCAGGTACCCCCTCATTGGATGTTTGCCTCTACAATAACAAACATTTGCCAAGTAAAAGGGCAGCCACATTGCTGCTGCCTGTTCTCGCCATCAGTGAGTGGTTTGCTTGGCTGTTGGAGTTTGTCAGTCGGCATGATTTATGATTAAATAACTGCAAAAGAGAACACTGAAAGACTGTAGAAGACAACAAAGTAGCAAATAAATTTACAAATCACTCCTTCAATCATCTTCAATATTTTCTAGGAACAGTTGCCTTCAGTTATGTATACTATAAGCTTGACACCCTATATACTTGAGAGAGATTGTAGGTTCAATTCCAGACCTCTGCAATAAAGGGAGTCATAATCTTTTTGCTGGTGGAGGATCTTGCTTTCAGTTTGTAAAAAAACACACCTGCAAAGCACAGTAAAGCAAAACACAATAAAATGAGGTATCCTTGTATTATGACTACGGAGAAGAGCTTTAGAGATTTAGGCAGACTGAAGAAAATTGTTGACTGTTGTTAGCTCATGAGTTCAATTATAGGTCTGGGAAGACAGTTGAAAAATAAAATTTATAAGTGAATGATTCTAGAGAAAAGGAAACCATAATGTTAATAGAGTGATCCTTGAGTAGTAGAACTATTTTATTTTCCAAATTCTCAAGAAATAGATTGTTACTTTTATAATATAAATTTTATTTCATTTTAAGGGGATATATACTGTTAAGAACTGCATATTAAAAGATAATAGTAAGAAAATAATTTTAAATAAAGAAGATTAATACCAGTACCATTGGGGCACTCCTCATCTGTCTTGTCAAATAACCATCATTTGTCACCATGGGTTATACTAAGGCGCAAGTGGGATAGTAGAGTGGTAACAGTCTCTGAAACTTACAGAACGTTTAAAGACTTCATACTTTCTGCTTTCAGACCTCTGGTTGTAAAAAATTCATATAAAATTCATTATATATGAATTTTAATCTGAAGAGATACAAGGATAAGAATAGGAAAAAGAACTAGGTTTTTGGCATCAAAATTAGCAAACATAAATTTCAAAGGTATTTTTAAGTAAGGAAATCAGATTTTTGTTTGTTTGTTTGGTTTGAGTTGTAGAAAGTCCAGGTTGCTGCCTGTCCTCCTGGAATATAGCAAGTATACTGTACAGTTCAGCAATTCAAAAGGTGTTATGGATGCCCTTTTGTGCTGTCAGCCAGAAGCCTATTGGTGAACGAAGTTCCTTAATGCATGTTTTATTGCTGGTGTATTTTTTTAAGTTACCGTAAAACAGTGGGTTTCATTTAATACCTACTTCCACAAGTTATCCTACTGGTTCTTGGATCTTTTCAGACTTTTTTGATTTGGAAGCCAAAAGAATTCTATTAGTGAATGTTTGCTAACCTTTACCACACTGCATCTTACTCTTTGCCAGAGACTAGAAAGCTAGACAATCTCACTTTCTTTTTTATCAAGCTTTTTATTTTAAGATGATTGTACATGTACATGCAGTTGTAAGAAAAAGAGAGAGATTGCCTGTGCCATTTACTCAGTTCTCCACAATGGTAACATCTTAAAAAACTGTAGTACAATGTCACAACTAGGATATTCATATTGATACAGTCAAGATACAGAATATTTCCATCAGAAAAGTCTTCTGTGTTGCTTTTTTATAGCAACACCCATTTCCCTCCTACCCCTACCCCTCCTTCACCCCTGGCAACCACTAATATGTTCTCAGTTCAAGAATTTTATATGAATGGAATTAGACAGTATGTGACCTTTTGGGGTTGTTTTTGTTTTCATTCAGCATAAATCTTCAAAGATTCATCCAGGCTACTGTGTGTATCAGTACCTCATTCCTTTCCACTGCTGAGTAGGATCCCATGGATGGTTCACCAACTTAACCATTCAGCCATTTAAGAACATCTGGGTCGTTTCCAGTTTTTGACTTATGAATGAAGTTTCTACAAACATTCACGTACAAGTTTTTGTGTGAATATAAGTTTCCATTTATCCGTGACAAATGCAGACGAATGCAACTGCTGGGTTACATGTTAGATGTTTAATTTTGTAAGACACTCCTATACTGTTACCAGAGTGACTATTCGATTTTATATCACCACTAGGAATATGTGAGCAATTGGGGCTTTCCACATCTTCACTAGCATTTGGTGGTGGTACTATATATTTTTAAAGGCAAAATTAAAATGTATTTTAATGGGTGTGTAACGCCCTGTCACTGGTCTTGTGTTTCCCCAATGGACTAATCATGTAGAACATCTTTTTATGTGCCTATTTACCATCTGTATTTCCTCATAAATGAAATGTCTTCTAATGTTATTTGCCCATTTTCTAATTGGATTGTTTGTGCATTTATTGTTGAGTTTGAGATTTCTTTCTAGTGACTAGTTCTTTGTCAGTTCTTTTGCTTTTGATGTCAGGTCTAAGAACCCCTTGTTCTAAAGCCCAAATACTTTCTATTTTTCTAAAAGTTTTAATATTTTCACATTTTACATTTAAGTCCCTGGTCTATTTCAAATTAATTTTTGTATAAATTTTCTGAAAGAGTTTGAGGTTAAATTTCTTTATAAAAACATTTTGTTTTTTAAGATTTTATTTATTTATTCTTAGAGAGAGGGGAAGGGAGGGAGAGAAAATCCACAGGTTGTCTCTTGCAAGTGCCCTTACCAGGGACCAGGCTGGGAACCCAGGCAGGTTCCCTGATTGGAATCGAACCAGTAACCTTTCACTCTGTGGGTCAACACCCAGCCAACTGAGCTATACCAGTCAAGGCAGTTTGAGGTTAAACTTTTTGCCCATGGATGTAAAATTGTTCCAGCCCCTTTAGCAAAACTAGGTGGGCATATTTGTGTGATTTTATTTCTGGATTCTCTGCTCCATTCTGTTGATCCTGTGTGCCTGCTCCTCCACCAGTAGTACCACACAGTATTGATTAATATAGCTGAGTCTTCCAGTCCATGGGCACGATGTCTCTCCATCTCATTGGCATTTTTTAATTTCAGTGTCCATGTGTTAATTGTGAGCATATAGAAATATAATTGATATTTAAATTTATCTTGTATCCTGTGACCATGCTGTATTTGTTAGGTCTAGGAATTAGATTTTTTTGGAGATATTTTGTGTTTGCAATCATGTCAGTTGCAAAGAAGGAAAGTTTTATTTTCTTCCTTTACAAATTGTATGTCTTTTATTTCCTTTTCTTGCCTTACTACTGCACTGGGCAAAACTTGCAGCAGTATGTTAAGAGCAGTAACAGCAGACATCTTGCTTGCTCACAATCTTAGGGGAAAGCATATAGTCTTTCACCATTAACTACAGCGTAGGGCTTCTGTAGAGCCTCACTATCAAGTTGAAGAAGTTCCCCTCTTTTCCTAATTTTCAGAGAGTTATAAACATGAATGGGTGTTGAATTTATCAAATACTTTTTCTGCATCAAATAATATGATCATATGATTTTTTTCTCCTGTAGTCTATTAATATAGTGGATTACAGTGAATTTCAAATAACAGATCAGCCTTTCATCTCTGGAATAAACAGTAGTCAAGATGTATAATTCTTTTTTATGCTGAATTATGTTTGCAGTTATTTTATTACGGATTTATATGTCTATGAGGGATATTTCTGTAGAGTTTTAAGTACTCTCTTTGGTTTTGATATCAGGATAATATTAAATTCATGCTTTTGACATCTGCAGGGTCTTATGGTGATATACCATTTCATTTCTGATAATCTGGTCAAAAAACTAACTTTGTTTAATGGATTTTTTAATGTTTTATGTTTTCATTTTTATTGACTTTGGCTCTTTATATTTCCTTTTTCATGCTTTGGGTTTATTTTGCTCTTTTTTTAGTTGCTTGAGGTGGAATCTTAGATTGTTGATCTGAGAGGCTTCTTTTCTAATGTATGAATTTAGTGCTATAAATTTTTCTGTTTGAACGGAGTTAGCTCTGTTAACACAAATTTTGATATGTTGTATTTTCAGTTCCATTAAGTTCAATGATTTTACTTTTCCCTTTGAGACTTCCTCTTTGACACATGGATTACTTAGAAGTATATTGTTTATTTACCAAATGTTTGAAAATTTGTTGTCTTTCTGTTACTCATTTCTAGTTTAATTCATCAGTGCCCAGAGAACACACTTGGTATGATTTCATTTCTTTTAAATTTGTTGAGGCTAGCTTTATGACCCAGGATATTTGTTCCGTGGGCACTTGATAAAAGGTATTCTGTTGTATTGGGTGAAATGTTCTGTAAATATGGATTGTATCTTGTTGGTTGATAGTGTTGTTTTTCTACATCTTTGCTAATTTTCTGTCTAGCCATGGTATCAATTGTTGAGAGGAATGTTGAAGTCTCCAACTATAATTGTGTGTTTGTCTCTTTCTCCTTTCAATTCTATCAGTTTTCTTTACATATTTTGCAGCTCTATTTGATGCATACACATTTAGAATCGCCAGGCCTTTGTGGTGGATTGACCCTTAATGGTCTTTTCTATCTCTAGTAATATTTTTTGCTCTGGAGTCTACCTTGTTATATTAATATAGCCACTATTTTCTTTTGGTTAATAGAGTTGCATGATATCCTTCTCTATCTTTTTATTTTCAGCCTGCCTTTATCTTTCTATTTGAAGTCAGTTTCTTGCAGACAGCATGTACTTGGTCATATTTTTTAATCTACTCTGCCAATCTCTGTGTTTTAATAGGTTATTTAGACCATTTATATTTAATTGTTTATCTATTACAGCTTAATTTTGCTATCTTTTTTTTGGGGGGGGGGTTATTTTGTTCTGTTTTTGTTTCTCCCTTTTCCTTTCCTTCCTGTGGATTATTTCAATACT